GTGTGTGCGTGTGCGTGTGCGCGTGCGCGTGCGTGTGCGTGTGTATATCCAAACGCAATAATATTATTTCTAGCTCGGCTTCGTACAAAATTCGAATGATAACAAATTACCAATCAGTGCTCAATTTACATTAGCATCTGCAACAATGCCTTCAAGAATATCAGAAGTTTTAAAGGATATCATAAATGTAAGACAACATCAAAATATTAAAATTATAAGATAGCATTAAAATTGGGTGCGTTATTTATTTATATTTTTGTAGGTGCAATCGTTGGAACATGTGACATCAAAGAAATTGCATCACATTCTCGTGCCTCAAAAATTTATAAGGGTGGGTCCAAGCGACAAACCGGCTGCACTTCTAAAATATATTAAACCAAAAGTAGCTAATAAGGAGCAAGTAATTATTTTTAATAACAGTAATAATACCTGCAATTGGGTCAGTATGTTCCTGAATAAGAGCAACATACAAACAGTTTCTTTGAACGGCGATATGCAGTTATATGAGAGGCAAAACAAATATGCCAGCTTCAAAAGCGGTAAATGTCGTGTATTGTGCACTACAAACGCTGGGTCTAGAGGTTTGGATACAGTGTCGGTACGCCATGTGTTGAATTACGAATTTCCAAATGCCACCGCTGATTACATACACAGGTACAACTAATATCATTAATATCATAATACAATTAATATCTATTTATATATCATGTCTCAACAAATCTTCACATAAAATTGTGATAGAATTTTTATATATATGTATATATTTTGTATATAATTTATAATATATATAATTGTATATAATTTGTATGTTTTCAGATGTGGCAGAACGGGAAGAGTCGGTAACATTAAGGACTGCAGAGTGGACAATTTTATAAGCACTTTGAATGACATCGCTATAGTACAAAAAATAGAGAGAGCGGTACGGAAGTCGAAACCGATACCGATATTCAATATCCACGAATCGAAGGAAGAGGATGATGTTTACGAGCCACTTGGATCGCAAATTGAAATGGAAGAGAAACAAGAATTTAGCATACCGTATTAAATCGTATTATGCGATTGTGTAAATAAAGATTGTTTTTATAATAATTTCCTCGCAATATGAATATGAAAGTTATACGAATACTCGATGCCATAGATGCATCTTGCGTCAATAACATCTTTTTCACGAAGCTTACGTAATTAAGTTGCTCGAGAACAGCGCTAGTGCTTTACGAGGAAACCTTCGAAGTGTCATCCAATAAGATTAAGTAATTAGCGAAATGTTGTTGTCCTGTTTGATCTCTTTAAGAGACTACCCCGAATAACTTCTTTACTCGGACTTATCGGATTAATTAACAGCCTGTGTCAACCATTATACGCTGGAACTTCTGTACGTCTCTTCCTAATCTTTCGTAATTTATTTCCATTTGCTCTCTAAAGAACATCAATCATTCTCAAGAGAAAATTTCGTCGCTTCTACGTCGCTTCTATGTGCTTATCAGCGTCGTGGCGCATTTACCAGATGAGGAAGTTAATCGAACCGCGCGTCCTACGCCCGAATACTTTCCTCGCCTTTCTCGTCACTGTTCCTTTTATCGTGCCGATTCCTGAATTCTGAGTTTCAGTTAGTTCCAGGGAGGAAACCACGACCCACACATACAAATATGACACGCTCGTCCATCCGTTCGACCGATGTCTCTCTCCGTTGTGTCCGGCGGCACTCCCACACGGTGAACGCCCACACGCCGACAAATAGCAATGCTCTTCCTTGAACAACCATGGTAGACCTTGCGTTCAGGCTGTCGCCGACTGTCGTTGCCGACAAGTTTATTACTCGCGCCGGGTTTTAGCGAAATTAATGCGCCCGGCAGGTTCATTCCCGCGTCACGTGGTGATGGGTGCGCCGTGTCACCACGATTCACGGAAGAACCCTCACTATCCCATGAGACTGGGAAACGACGCCTCGTCGAAAATGATAAAATGAAAACCAGGGCGAATTAGCACTTGTACCGAACATACGCGTTTTCATTATTTGTGGCTTTCGCGAATACATTAAAACGCGTGAATAGAGAATGAATCCATTTGCTATTCTCATTGCAGATAAATTTAATACTGACGCTAGGAAACGAATATCTTTTACGTGTGAAATACTGTTGGAATTTTATTATATAATAGTTTTATGTGGTGTTTTATTGTATTATTCTTTTCAATTCTCTTTTTATTTGTAGTCTTGTTGCAAGTAGCGTCTCTTATAAATGAACTTCTAAGAGTGATATTCATAATTTTTATATTATAAGATCGTCTTATAAGATTGTCTTAAGATGAATCAATCAGAGAGTTATCTTAAGATATTATTTAAGACAATCTTGAAATAAAATTATGAATATCTAGAAAATTAAGACAAAACGTATAATTGAAAGCGGAAACGTTTCTTTGATGTTTTGCTGTCTCAGTTTTCTTTTCTTAAAAGCTTTGTTTTCCATTATTCTCTCTTTTTACATTCGATTTTTACTTTCGTCATCAGGAATTGCATAAGTCGATTGACGATTCCTAATATTCTCATTCATGGAAATTTGTGTTAAATCACTTTCGCTACTTATTCCTGGACGCGCAGCTTTTGCTATGTAGTGCACGATTTAATGAGTGTCGTTAGCAGTCTGCGCGCTCTGAAAGGATATGACACGCCTTTGGTATACTGTTGTTAAAGTTTACCATCACTGTCTACTGTCATCGAGAAACGGTAAACATGAATGATAGGTTGACGGTAGTGATGACCGCAATGATAATGGACTAATCAGCGTGGGTGGCCGCGTGACATGAGGAACAGAGGCAGTTCACAAGTGGACGATACAACGTCTATCCGGGGGATCCTGTTTCTGATCTTAGTCAGACCTGCTTTGCACCACATGCGGTTTCTATGACAGGCACTATAAACTCTGACCATGAGTTCTGTTCAATTTTACACACTAATTTTGAAATCATGTTTTCTTGATATACTACATCAAAGCTTTTAAACTTTACGATTATTTGAAATGTTCTTTTTTAAATACAAGGAAATGATGATTTGCTGAAGTATCTAAAAATTCAATTAGATAAAACATCTAAACATATTTGTTAGTTAAACATCAAAATAATTATATATGTTTTAAAATCACTTAAACCGATTCCTAAGATGTTAAAACTTTTTGCGGCATTGTTCATCCTTAAATAATGCTTAATCCATTATTAATTTTTGATTGAATTTCTCTTCATACTTCTTTCTATCAGAAGAATATTAGCGAAATGTACCGTATACTGATAACGACAAGGAAATCATTATATATAACATTTAATTGTTTTGATGAGAAGCAATTAGAAACAAGCGTTATGCTCGCACAAATTGCGCTTAGAAAGACAGCTTACAAAGTTTTTACGTCGACGGATTGTTATTATTTACGCGAAGATACCCAACAGTGGTTTCACACATACTACTCATACATGCAACACATATAGCCGCATGCGTAACAGAAAAAGACTTGATTCTTAGAAACGTTCGAAGAAATGTGATCGGTGAAGAAAATAAATCACTTGGTAAAATAATTTATAAATTTGTACGAGTTTATTACAATATTAATCTATAACGATTTTATCATTATCGTTTTAAATTATGAAATAATATACTTTCACAGAAAATTTATAAAAAGCAAAATTCATTAATTTGGCATAATAAACAATTATTTGTAACAATGGATTATATTTAATATAATTTAATATTTTTAATACTATGTTTTAATAAATTGTATTAAAAAAATTGTTTGCACGATGGATTAAAACATAGAAAATAAGGAAAGAACAAAAATAAGCAAAAAGTAGATTATAATCTTGTCATCGCTACACACTTTTAATATCTCAATTTTTAAATTATTATTTAATTCAGAATCTTAAAATCATATTTTTTATAAAGATTGATTCTTAATTATAATATTTTGATAAAAGATTTCTCCTTTTTTATTTTTATCATTAGTTCTCTATAATTTTACATGTTATGTCAAAAATTAATAAGAAATGATTAATTAAAAAATAAATTACATATAAATGTTCCAATTTTAAGATTCTATTAATCTATTATATCGAAATTTTAAAATTAAGATTATTAATTTATTTCTTAATTAATTCTGATTTTCAGAATTAATTAAGAACTCTTATAGAGAAGACAGAATTCCATTAATTATGCACTAATAACAAGCTGCTGACTTAACAGAATCGCAATTACGAGTGTATGTAGCGAAAACACGACTTAAGTGTACCGGTCATAAATCTAATGTCTAATAAGTTATACTGCCGTTCATATAATCGCTAGTCTCGCACCGATGACTAATTTTTCTTCTCGACGAGCGCAATCGCCTAGAAATTCTCCTTCTAATCCGTCGCTCTCGATAACGCATATCCATTTAGCGTTGCACGCGAATTTCGAGTGCGTGTATATCAGGAAAATTGATTTCGACTGTCGATTGTCAGACGATTTTTTGCCAGATTGCACTCTAATTCGGTTTTAATAACTTCCCGCGCGCACCTGATCTTGATAGGCAAGTATTTCGTTGAGTCATGCTTGCCAAGAACCGGATCAAGAATTCTGGAATCTCATTTTGATTGCGTGAAAATCACGATTAGTCAGAAATAACAAGTTAACAAGCTACGAGTGTTATTACAGTTTGAAATAATTACGTTGCATTTTGCGCTTATAAAGGAAGACCCAGAAGTGAGAACGCGCTTTTGAAGCGAGATTTGTTACAAAAGATGATCCTTTGTGCTTACATTAAGAATTTCAAACCTTAGATTCAGATAATTCTTAGTTTTTTTTTTAAATGAGTAATAAATATCAAATAATTAAGTCATCGTATTGATTAAGCGCTAATAAGATGATAAATCTCAGCGAACGAAGAAAAAATTATGTATTATAATGTTCAAGATCATTTGACTTTTATCCGATCTGTACATAAGATGATATAAGTATAGTTCAAATTAATGCATTTTCATTACCACCTTGGCAATGAAGCTAACAATAACATTGCACTCGAGTTTGCATTAATTCAAACTATATTTATACAGTTTATGCATTGCATAAAAGTCAATTAATTCTGAAATTTTGTAATACTTAACTTTTTTTTCTTTTCCTTGAAAAGAGAAAAGATTCTACTTTTAATCTTTTCCTTGACAACGCATCAATAGATCTTCTTGCTTTCTAGATCTTCTCCATGTCATAAAATATGAGCGTTTCGTATTAATATCACACTATAGAATTATTTGACATTTCGTATTAACATTCAATATTTTAATAGATATCGATATTTCATAAATCATTCGATATTCCATATGGATCAATCATTCGAGATTTGTCTAACATGAAATATAAAACGTGAAATTGTAGTATCAAATATAAGATATTGAAACTCATATGTCAATAATTTGTCATAATAATTGTTATAGAATATTCTATAGCATTATATTTCATATATACATGTTATGTGTACATATATATAATTGTATTTAATAGAAACCGCACTTGATTTGAGTTAGAATATGAAAATTGTATCTGATTCTCATAATATCTATAAATTTAAGTTAAATTAACGAGGAGAATTAATAATTGAGATATCTATAATGGTATCTATAATATTTACGTTCATTTGTGTGCATTACGTTCATTTATGGCGTCGAAATAGCGTACATTTGATCACATTTAAATATCATGAGTGCCGAAGGAACCAATCAACTTATCTCTATTATCAACTATATTTCATCATGTAATTCTATTACATTGTGTGACATTCATCCGATTACTCGATTCACATTCAAGTTAAATTCATACTTAAAGTAAATAATTAATTACTGTCTTTTATACAGTATTTTAAATTGCAGTATTCTAATATTAGATTTTTATGAAGAAAAGAGATACATATATTAGAAAAGACAAGAAAAGACGAGAAAATCAAATAATGATTGTATTATACGCAGACAATAATATCACGTGATTGCATGATAAACGCGCGCGACAAATTCATCAAGTAAATTCCGCACGATCGTAGATGCGGATATATAATTCACATCAAATTCGTTACGC